ATTTTTGCGTTATTATTTCCCTTGAATCGATCTTGTTTGAACTCCAAAGCTCCGTTCATTTTCTTCTTCTGAGGGAGGCCGCGGGCGGGGGTTAAAAAAAACCTCTCCATTAAAAAAAAAATCTTGCAATTTTAAAACTTTAGTCATGACCCTAAAGCCACTGACTAAACGCAGCAAATTCCCCTTGTTAAGGTTGCAACTCCGAAGGACGGTAGAAGCGACCTGATCTCTGGAGCTGTAACCCTAAAAAAATCAGTTCGAAGTAAATTTCACCCCTACCTTCCATGTTCTCCAAGGAAGCCTCGCAGCTTGATCCCATGCTTACCTCTTGTAATGTTCCCAGCGAGACGGGTGTTAAATCGGTATGATGCAAGTCTATGTATAACTACTCTGGAGTAAATCTTATTGCGTTCGGTGCAATTTAGGTAAATGGCTGTGCATTGGAAGCCACAGCCTTGAGTTTGCCGATTGCCTAGCTGGGCTGTTGATAAGAGGGTTTTTTGGAGGTCATTCTCATAGGGTCACCATAGGTCGGAAGCAATTTAAGGACACATATTAGCAACAAGGGGTTTCAGCTGATTTGAAAATAAATAGCCCATCAATAATTAGAGAAGGTAGGGACTAAGCCCATAGAGACAGAACGTAGGTGTGCATCTGTGCCGTGCGTCTGAACATTGTGAGGTCTGTTCGTTTGAGAGGGAGAGAAAAACCAAGCTTTTAAGGACAAGGGAGCAGAGCCTTCTGGGAGACGAGAAGGGAGAGAGACGAAATCTAGTAGACAGGATTATGAATCAACGCCACCACGTCTTAATCTAAGATTTCCTCTTCTCGTCTATTAATTTAAAAAAAGAAGAAGAGTTGGTGGCCTGGAAAAAAGAGTGTTGAATTACGGGAATCCAAGGCTTCTGCAAATCCAGAAAGCTCACTGCATGTGCCCTGAAACAAATCTCTTAGGGCAGTCTACCCAGCAGGGCTGTCGTGAAAATTAAAAACTGTAGGGAAAGCCACGTGGGCAGCGCACATTCCTCGTGAGGGAGGGGTGAGACGAAATTCACCGTACCTCTGAAGACCACATTGTTTTCGAGGTTGACAGATTTAGAATCAACTGTTACTATAGCCCAGTTTGAAGGGGCGAAAGCTCCAGTGACTAGAAGCTCTAGTCATTTTCATGTCGTATTTTTCTGAAACCATGAAACGCCGGGCTAGCGTCCGCCCTGCTTTTAAGACAGAGACGACGTGCCGCAAGGCTTCGTTTCGTCTTAATTTAGGCGGCGAGGACGGTGTTTCTAATCATCCTGTCCCAAACACAGGTGCAAGTCGATCCTCTGGCCCGTTTCCTCGGAAGTACATTCTAGTAAGTTTAACGGGAGGTAAACTGGAGTAAATGCGTTTAGGATACCGAGCATTCTGAGTCACCGGTCCGGTCGATCCCCGTCGTTTCATGGAAGGCGAGGGTCCAGATCATGCCAGGATGCCACTGCACGTGAACTTAATGGTGACAGCAGAGTTTCTGTTAAATGGTCACGAAATAAGAGGCACAACACAAACGCGCGCGCGCCCACTGCTTTGGCTCGCTCCTTTACTCTCTGAGCCTCAAAACAGTGCATCCAAGATCCCCCCCCCATTGTACACGTCGGAACCGAATTCACCAGAACGAGGGCAGGCTTGCCCTGCAGGCTGACGTTCCACCTGACCCCGCGAGACTGCTTATGAGTAAACACGTTCACAGTAGTGCTCAAATTTCCTTCCCATCGCCAATGATTAGACCGCGTTATCTCCCTTAAGGGTTTGAGAAACCGGAAGGACGATGGGTTGATGCAAACGAATTTGGTTCCAAGCGCCCGAGAATACTTTTTCTTAAGGCTTACAGATGCGCCTTTCAAATGCCGGCACGAAATTGAGCATCTGAAAGGCTACCTTTCTCCTACAGAGGTTCTCCCCCTTTGGTCCAAGCCAAAATTCAGCCCTGCTTCGTTCCTGTAAGTTCTGTTCCCTCTCAATGAGGAGGCACACAGGCGCGCCTGTCGAACGATCCCAGGGAAAGCAGGTCACCACTGT